TGTGGAGACGGGTATCCATTGCAAATCGACTTTGGAACCACTTAAGGAACAACTCCCCCAAGCTGCACAGGTGGACACTACCTGAACCCGAACCATCTGGGTTTGTCTTTGGAGTAATTGGTGAAAACTAGATTCAAGATCAGGGAGTCTCTTCTCCCCTCCTCTCAATCCAGTTCTTTCTTTGCCCCCACTTTACTATCAAAACTCATTTGATTTTGATCCTTGTAGTAACCTTCAACCTTTGGATTTTGCAGTTCCAGCTGTTGAAACGTCACCGGTGGTGGATAATAACCCATGTGCAATAGAAAAAGGAGGGGGAGGTGGAAAAGACAATGTGGAGAAATTGTTTATCGTGATGGATTTGGAAAAGGATGATGGGGGAAATGAAGTTATTGTAGGTATCCAAGAGAAGGAAAAGGAAGACTGTCGTTTAGATGAGGGAGAAGAAGGCTGTAGAGAGATACYCAAAGTAAAAGGAGAGGAACAAAAAGAAGCCAAAAGGAAGTTCACCAAAGGAAAGGTCTATCTTAGAAAGGGGGTAGAAGATGATAAAAAAAGAAAGAGAAGAATGAATGAGGTGGAAAGGCTAGCCTATGGTGTGTCCTATGAGAAGACTGTAAATAGGAAAAGGGAGAAGAAAAGAGGAGAATAAAAGAGGAGAATAGGATTTGGGATTGAGTTAGGGTCAAGGAAAAAAGGGTGGAATGAAAGTGCTTTGGTGGAATGTAAGAGGTTTAGGAAGTGCAAAGAAAAGGAGAATCATCAGGAATGTGATAAGAGAAAGGAGAGACTGGTTATAGTCATGTTATAGGAGACAAAGCTTTCAGACTTGGACAGAAGGTGGATAAGAAGTATATGGAGTTGCAGGGGTTTAAGTTGGTCTTTTGCCTTGCCGTGGGGTGCCTCGGGTGGAATCCTTACAATGTGGAATAATGAGGAAGTTGACTGTCAGGAGGAACTAATAGGACAATACTCAATATCAATAAAAGCCAAGAGGATGAGTGATGGAAGGGAGTGGGTGTTGACTAATGTGTATGGGCCGAATTCATATAGAGAGAGGAACTCATTCTGGGAAGAGCTAGCTACAGTCAGAGGCATATGGGAGGATCCGTGGTGTTTGGGTGGGGATTTCAATGTAATAAGATATACAAATGAGACAAACAACCCCAACCAACCCTTAACATCTAGCATGAAACACTTCAATTCCYTRATTGAGTCCCTAGAACTAAAAGAGCCTACCTTGTTACAAGCCCCTTTCACCTGGTCAAATCTCCAAGAAAATCAAGTGTGCTCAAAACTGGATAGATTGCTGTTCTCCATTGATTGGGAAGAGTTGTGGGGCACTTTGACACTAAAAGCCCTACCTAGAGTGACTTTTGATCATTGCCCTTTAAGCCTTTACCAAGAAAATCTTATTGGTGGTCCCACACCTTTTAGATTTGAAAACATGTGGCTAGAAGTTCTAAACTTTTTGCAAAAGGTAAAAGGATAGTGGTCAGAAGATGGGATAAGGGCTAGAAATAAAGTGGTGAGATTCTCTAAGAAATTGAAAAGATTGAAGGAAAAGGTCAAGGAGTGGAACAAAGAAGAATTTGGAAAAGTTAAGGTCATAAAGGAGGAATTAGCTAGGAAAATAGAGGAAGTGGACCAAAAGGAGGCCTGAAAAGAGTGTTGGGTGGAGGATAGAATAGAAAGATGGAACTTAAAAGTGCAATTGGAAGTGATTCTAAGAAAACAAGAGATTTCTTGGAGGCAAAAATCTAGATGTAAATGGCTTCTGGAAGGGGATGGAAATACCAGTTTTTTCCACTCTCTAGCAAACGGGAGAAGACAGAAGAACCAAATTTCCAATGTAGAGGTGGATGGAAGAGTGATAACTGCAAAAGAGGAAATTGAAAGCTGCTTTGTGGATCACTTTAAGTCAATCCTAGCATCCTCTGATGAAAACATGGCAGAATTGGGAGATTTACAGTGGGACAGAGTGCCAAAATCCGAAGTTAACCTCCTAGAAAGAGCCTTCACTATTGAGGAGATACATGTAGCAATATTCTTGATGGATAGATCTAAACCACTGGGGCTGGATGGATTTTCAATGGCTTTCTATTAGAATTGTTGGGAAATTTTGAAAGATGAATTAATGGATGTATTTGTGGAGTTCTATCAAGAAGGAAAATTATCGCCTGGAGCAAATGCAACTTTTATTGCTTTAGTGCCAAAAAAGGAGGCCAAAACCCCCAAGGATTACAGACTGATAAGTCTAGTGGGTAGCTTGTATAAAATCGTTGTTAAAGTCCTGGCTGGTAGGTTGAAGACTGTACTGCCCTATATTATCTCTTAGAACCAAGGAGCTTTTGTAGAGGGGAGACAAATTGTGGATCAAATTTTAGTGGCAAATGAGTGTGTAGCAGCTAAGAGAAAACAAGGTGGTAAAGGTTTGATTTGTAAATTGGACCTTGAAAAAGCTTATGATATGGTGGATTGGTCCTTCCTGTTGGATTTAATGGAAAAGATGGGGTTGGGTGAAAGATGGAGGATGTGGATTAAAGAATGTATTAGCTCAACACATTTTTCTATTATGATGAATGGGGTGGCAAAGGATTTCTTCCAGGCTAAAAGAGGACTAAGACGGTGATCCCTTATCTCCATTCTTATTCACCTTTGTGGCTGAGGTTTTGAGTAGACAGATCACCAAGGCTGATCAAGAAAACCGGTTTAAAGGTTGGAGGATGGGTGGATCAGAAGTGGTGGTGTCTCATTTGCAATTTGCTGATGACATAATTATTTTCTGTAAAAGCTGTAATGAAGCCAGTTTAAGGAATCTGAAAAGATTGGTGGATGAATTTCAGCAGGCCTCCAAATTGAAAGTCAATTGGAGAAAAAGTTGTGTAGCCGGAATCAACATTGAAGGGGGTAACATCCAAGCCATGGCAAATTTGCTAGGTTGTGAAGTGAAAAATTGGCCTCTAGAATACTTAGGTATGCCCTTGGGTGGGAATCTGAAAGGTGAAAGCTTCTAAAAACCGGTGGTAGAGAGGTTCATGAAGAAGTTGGCAATGTGGAAGATAAATTTTATTTCCTTGGGGGGAAGAATCACCTTGATAAAATCAACCCTTGCAAACCTTCCCACTTATTTCCTTTCCACCTTTAAGATACCGGTGAAAATAGCTAGGAAATTGGAGATGATTATGAGGGACGTTTTGTGGGAACCAGGTGAAGAAAAGAAAGATCATTTAGTGAAATGGGAGCAAGTTTGTTACCCTAAGGACCAGGGTGGATTAGGCATAGGGAACCTAATAAAGAGAAACAAGGCCCTTCTAGGGAAATGGCTGTGGAGATTCCCTTGTGAGGAAGAAAGGTTGTGGCACAGGGTCATTAAAAGCTTACATGGTGAWRYAGATAAYRGYTGGGATGCAAAATTAGCCCCCAATGCAGCTCCATCCTCTCCCTAGAAGGCAATCTTTGAGGTATATCCAACTTTTCTTCAATTTTTCAGGTTTGATGTTGGTTGTGGCAACAAAGTTTTATTCTGGGTAGACCTTTGGGTTGGGGATGTGCCTCTTATGTTCAGTTTCCCAGACCTCTACTCTTTATCAAACTATAAAAACAAACCTATTGCTAGGTTTGGTGTGCTTTCAGAATCAGGGATCTCTTGGGTTTTTGGTTTTAGAAGAGGATTGAGGGAAAATGAGTGTGAGTCTCTAGTGCTATTGATTTCAACACTTGCGAGGGTCTACTTGGACCAATCTATAGCTGATTGTAGAGTGTGGTCCCCAACTTCTGATGGTTTATTTTTCTGTGCATCTTTCTTTGGTTTGCTCACTCGTATTAATCATATGGGGGTGAACTTCCCAGTGAGAAATTTGGACTAAACCGATCCCTCCAAAAGTACAAGCTTTCTGTTGGGAAGTGTTCCTAGGGAAGGTAAACACGTGATGTGCTATAGAAAAGGAGGCCAAACAAATTGCCTCTCTCTCATGTGTGTGTCCTTTGTTTGGGATGTGGTGAAACTCTAACCCACTTACTATTATCCAGCTCTTTTGCTTCTGGTATTTTGGAATGTTGTTTGTTCTCTCTTTGGATGCAAATGGGCTCCTCCACAGGATGTGGTAAGTCTATTCAGCCCCTCTTTCCTGTGTCAACAGAAGAAAAGGGGAAAATGCATATGGAAGGCAGTGAGAGCAGCTACAGTATGGACTATATGAGAGGAAAGAAACCTAAGAATCTTTTCAGGAAAAAAGCAAAACTATGGAGGAAGTTATTGAACCCATAAAAATCAGAACTGCACATTGGGTGAAGACCATGGAGATATTCAGAAACTACTCCACGAATGAGATACTAAGAAATTGGGCTGAAATAGCACAAACAGATGTACCCAAAGTTTTTGTAAGCATGGAATGGAAGCCACCAGCATGGAACAAACTAAAACTGAATTTTGATGGGAGTTCTCTTGGCAACCCTGGAAGGGCAGGCATTGGGTGTCTGTTTAGGAATTATCTGGGTGTGGTGGTGGCACTCTACTCTGGACCAATAGGTTATGGTGACTCAATACAGGCTGAATCTCTAGCCCTACTTCAATGTCTAAAGATGGCTGAGCAAACAGTAACAACAGACTTAGAAATTGAAGGAGACTCTCTATTGGTCATCTCTTGGGCCAAAAACATCACATCAGCGCCTTGGAAGCTCAAGTTTATTTTCAGAGAAATTGACACACTTCCAAGGAAGTTCAACTCTCAATTTGGTTGGATTAAAAGGGATGCAAATGGGATGGCGGATACCCTAGCAAAACAAGGGGCAAATAGATATTCATTGTATTGGGCAGAATTGTAACTTATTGCTGGAGATTGCAATTTATTCCTATGCAATCTTTAGCTATTGTATCTTAATTTCTCTGCTATTAATGAAAGATTTTTACTGGTAAAAAAAGCTATTTTATATATTATTGTAAACTATTAGGAAGCTGCATTTCCGTTAATTTATGCTTTAGCATTTGTCTTTGGCAGCTTTGATGTAGAAAATGGACCAAAAGCAGCAGAGTTTATTAAGGTATTGGGTTCTGTTCCTTTCTTGCCAAAACTTTATTTATTTGTCATTTAGCATCATTAGTCATTACTTGTTTAAACGTTTAATAGGTAGCAATTATACATTCTATTTGGTAATATGAGAGCAAATTATTAGATACAATACATCCTAGTAATAACTAGGCTAATGTTTTTGATATTACTTCTAAGAAAGTGAAGTTTAACACTTCATTTGAAACATTGGAGATGCGAGATTTTTCTCCAATCTCTGCATCAATGAAATCATTATTTACTTTTGCTGCTAAAAATATATGAAATTGTTGACTTCGCGGCTTGCTTCAGCAATCCTTACCAATACTTGTATATTACTGGCCCAATTTCTTTGTATACTGGCAGCATTGTTTTGAAAATGGTAATCGTATTGTAAATCATAGATAAGGTTGAATAAATCAAATCATGAATCATATCATAAACCATATGATAATTTCTGTTTTGTAGTAATCTATCAAAATTAAAAATTATATGCTAAAATCCTAAATATATATTGACTTTTTACAAAAACAAGTAACAGAATTTGTTTGATAGAACTGTGAAGAATCAAAGTCCATGTACAATAAGGAACTGCACATTGGGAATTTACAAAAAGATTTAAACAGATATTGCCTTTCCAATTCTCACAAAAACAAGTTGTCAAAGTTAAAAAAATGTATTGCATGGTCTTCCTTTAAACAACTTATGCATGGCTGCCCATGAAAAAAAACATCCCTATGATTTTCTTAACTACCATAGCTTCCTCACTACTATTGCTTTCAAATATATGAGCATTCCTCTTTCACCAAATAGTCCAACAGATTGGCTTGTACCATCTTCTAAAAAAAGCCCCTATCTGCCAGGAACTCTTTTGTTGTTTCTGGAAAGAAAGTTTGTACCCCAAATAAGGCTAACACCTTTGTCCACACCTTAGCAGCAAAACTGCAATGAAGGAAGAGGTGGTCAACTGTCTTTATACAGCTATCACAGAAAATACAGTTTGGTTATTCACCACTGCCCCTTGCTCCAATAAATTATCTATGTTTATGGCATCTATTTTGCACGGCCACCAGCAGAAGTGATACTTTTCATGGGATCACAGAGTACCATATCATTGACCATGGAAATGTGCTATTGCCCTTCTGTAACGGACCCCTATAAAATGACCTTACTGAGAAGTGTACAGTAATATGTTTTTGTGAGGTGGATTTCTCAGCCACCTAAATAGGGATGCTTGGCATCTCTGTAAAATTTTTATTTCTTTATATTGGTAAATCATAGTTTTTCATAAAAAATCAGTCATGCCTGGAAAACAATGTCCAAATTTGTGAGCAGAAAAAAAAATGCTGCATTTTGGACAAGATTACCCCTACAGGAAATAAAAGAAAAAGTTAGAGAGGTTTATGAGATTATTTACAGTCTCTGTATTTGAGTTTTCCTCATTTTCATTCCTTACCATCGAAGTTGTTCTCAATTTAGACTACAATATAGACTACAACATATGCCTTGTAATCCAATTTGTGGACCTAACATATTTTACAGATCATCCTATGGACACATCAGAAGTTTTAGATTACCTTCATGCATTGCATTTGAGACTTGGCGGGTAATTCCTTTTGCCTTTTGCTGTGTGATTGATTGGTAGGACACAAGGATGCAAGACAAACTCTTGTTCAACTGTTCCGTCCCTCGTGCAAAAGTCATTCCAGTGGTTGAAAAAAGGGAGTTCACACTTTATGGTCTGAAAAATCAATCAATCACTTGATCTTTTTATTCATTGTAAGAAATCTCCTTGATATGAATCAATGGCGGTGGACCCAAGCCTCCTGTGAAGGTTGGACCTACCACGATCAAGGTGTGGCCCATAGGTCATCAAGAAAGGGCCTTTCACTGGTAGGAGTTGGTACCATCAGTTCATTACAAATCTACAATAATAATACACCAAACCATACCACAATACTATATATTACAATAGAAATACCATGTTTCATAGGAACAGTCCCGAGGATTCTATATGCCTCATTAACATTGATGACTTTTGCTCCATAGAGACAGTATGTAAAAATAAATGTGGAGTGGTGGCATGGGGTAGAGTGAGAAGAGAGAGAGAAATCATGGAATTTGAAAAGAGAAAGATGAGTACTCTTGCAGCAATGGAGAAGAGCTGGATGCCAAGGGAATGTTGACTGCACCAAAAATTTCACTTCTCAAAGTATTTAACCAATATCATGCGTATTTCATAATCAACTTTGTCTCTGGTCATATTTATGGCCATTGTCAACCTTCACAAAGTGCTGTCTCCTCACCCACCAAGAAGAAAGCGAAAGGTGGTCTTGGATCTTCACAACCCACATTGATGGAGGGCCGATATCTACTAAAGAAAAGAAGATTCTGGTGTGGGCTCCACCATATTTTTCAAGGTGCCAAGGCAAGGCTAGGCAATAGGGGGATGCCTAGTTGTCGAGACGATTTATTATTATTATTATTATTAAATAGAAACCATGAATCCTTGGGTAATTTCCTAGGTTCCATAGCAATCAGCAATCATCTTTTTTTATTGTTAATCATCTTTCACACTAGTAATTATCCACATCCTTTGTAAAAAGAAAGTATAAACTTCACATCAATGTGACAATATATGTTGACAGAACTCATGAATTTTCCTCATGCTAGTTGCTACTCATGTGTTGTAGGCCTTCCTGGTTCGTAGGAGAATTATTTGAGGCAATCTGGTTTGGTCTTGGATGGATGATTGTGTATACTAATAATTTGCACAATTTCCCTTTTGGGTTGACTTTGGGTTTCATCTGAATTCTATTTGTTTTATGCCTTGTTGTAATCAATGTTATTATGTTATTGATACAATATGTCGTGCTTTCTTGAATTGCCGCTTCTTTATATATTTATCCTTCTGATATGTATATGTTAACTATGTGCTAAGTAGGTCCTCCCCCCCCCCCCTCTCTCTCTCTGTTGAAGTGCTGTCAAGTGCAACACATTCTCTTTTGCTGAATTAAAACTCTTCTCTCTGTAGATGTTTATCCTTTGTCCAACATCTTTTTTTATCACAGCACTCTGGTTTTGTCAGATATTTTTATGTACCTCAGAAGTTGACTGCTCTTTGTTTTCATCCTCCAGGATGCTGTAACTAAGTTACCCCCTTTACGACCATTGTGTTTGATACTGAAGGTCTTTCTACAGCAGAGAGAACTGAATGAGGTATGGGCTTGTGCTGTATGATTAGAAACTTAAGTCATTTTGTAAAAAGAATATATTTTTTTGATCAATAACTGGAATTCATTAGATTAAAAGAATTTAGTTACAGCGCTCCAAAGAGAGGTAAACAGGCTTAACTCTCTCCAGGAAGAACAAAAAAGAAAAAGTTACAGAACAGCCCAAAACATTTGATCCCTTCCCACCCCCTGCTTTGCCAAAGCATCGGCAAATGCATTTGCTGTTTTCTTGACCCACTGAAACTTGATTTCCAGTCCTCTAGTTAGCCACTTAATCTCCCTCCTCTCATTAGCATATTTCCAAAGTCCACTACTTTCTTGTAACCAACTTAAGACCAGCTTTGAGTCCCCTTCAATGACTAACTTTTGTATATTCAGTTCCTTAGACTTCCTTATACCCTCCAGTACTGCATAGACCTCAGCTTTGAAAGAGTCTCCAAACCCAATGGAACCTGAATACAAAGCGAGCACCTTCCCATCCTCATCTCTGAAAACCCCTCCTACACCTGATGGACCTGGATTTTTCTCACTACTTCCATCAACGTTTAGCTTTATAGGTCCACTTCCTGGTGGTGACCACACATGACAAACTAAAGAGCGACCAGGAGCAGAATTTGCCACCTCCAGCCAGCTATTCAGCAACATGTCCGTAGAAATATAAACAAACAGGTCCAAGGATTTCAGCCTATGTACCACCCTCACTGTTACTACAATAAGGCATTCTTTACTTCTTTCAACTTCAGAGAAAATTTTGGTGTTCCTTTCCTCCTAAAGAGTCCAACAAACAGCAGCCCTCACACACCTCTACATTATCCTTCCTCTACATTCAAAGTTTGTTTGGCTAAACAAACTTTGAATGTTTGACGGTGGGGTCCACTTGCAACCAAATGATTGTAAAAAGAATATTTTATACCAACTATCTGATTATTTGCTTTTAATTTACAGGTATATTCAGGTGGAATTGGTTCTTATGCACTTCTTGCGATGCTAATGGCACATTTGCAGGTAAGGGCATCTATCTTGCGTGATTGTATGGTTGCCATTATCGTTATCCCTTCACAAGTAGGACATACCACTGGTATTACTGGTTCAACATGGAATGCATAATGTACTTTTAACAGTAGATGGTGATCTTGTTGATTATATTCAGTTTTAGGTGGTTTAAGATCTTATTAGATTAGATTGTTGCGATGCTAATAGCACTCTTCTTGCTTCCTAAATTTTAGGTATCATTGTTAAATATCCTTTTAAATTATCTATACATTTAGATTTTGTGATCAAAATCTGATGTGTTTTGAGAAGGTCATGTCGATTTTGCTTAGTTGGTATTGGGGTTTTTAGCCCTTAATAACATGCATTAAGGAATGGGTTTTTTAGTCCTTACTACCTTCTCTTGTTCATTTGTTTCATTGTTTGATTATTTTTTAGGACATTGTTTGTAGTCAGAGATTCTAGAGGTAGAAAAGTAGAATCCAGTATATGAATATTTGGTGGGTCAACCAAATTAGTTGTACTTGGATATCCTATTTCAATTAAAATCAAGTTTTCATCTGTTGGAAAGAATATTGTTTTGAAGATTTTCTTTCTTTTCTGTTGGTTCTCATTTCATTGTTTTTGAACGCTAACTGGATCAAATGTTTGTATTGATGATAAGAAGGAAGTAAGATATTGTACTCATGCTCCCCCAAACAAGGGATACACCATATAACCTAAGAAAACCTCTAACAAGGGATAAAAGCATGTCTTCTTATAACATTGTTACCCTTGATGTGGTGATGCCTCCTGACCAAATCTTATGCCAAAAAATTGGTTGATTAAGGGAAATTACCTGAATGATATTTTCATGCTGTCAAGGATTTAGCCCCCATGATGAAAAGTTATGTGGGGGCCGGTGTCCTATATGATGCATCCCTACAATGATATTTGAATTCACCCTGAGCCTCAACGTTTTCTAATACCAAGGGGAATGTACTAATGTAAAATACCAATAGAAAAGGTGAATGCCAACCTAAGACCCATAGGTAAAGGCTTAAAGCCATAATCTTCATCCTTTCCACCGTCCTTGATCCAGCTAGTCCTGAGAGTATAATGATGATCTTGGCTGGGTTTACCAAGGAACAGCTGTTGAAATTTAGTTTGACTATTCCTTAAGCAGGGGGATTCATTTGTGCTGCAGACCACTCTAAGTCTTGAGGAGCTTGCCATTTCCGAGCATCCTTTGAATCTACTTCCTTTCACTATTTGCTGGGAAATTTGGATAGTGTAAAAGTCACATCTTTTGAACATGAAGTATGGAGGAAGTTGTAATTTCCAAAATTGTCAATCTCCTGTTCTTATAGGCTTCCCCTACTGGTGGATTTCAAAAGATTTTTGCTCATCTCTCAAAGGAGTTTGAATGAAAATGGATGATATATGAGGATGATTTTGGTGTATATTTGTGTATGGCTCATATAGAAGTACAGTGTGTTATATTGGCAGATCTTATAGTTGGCTTTTGAGTTTTGACTGTATTTACATGATCATGACAATGTTGGAATGATTTGGGCTTGCCCTACAGTAACTGGTAATAATTTGTTAAAAGAAAAAAAGATAAAAGGTTGATGTAGGTAGAAAAACTGATAAAAAAAGGTTGATGTAGGTAGAAAAGGTAAATAGTGTGAGTATGCTAATCTACTGTTATTTTCCATATGCCAAAATGATATTGCTGGTGAAATAAACAATATTGCATTTATATTGCTACTAGGGCCTTGTGTATTTTAGCTGAACTCCACAAGAGAAAAGTAGTTGAACTCCAATCTATCAAGACTCATTTAGACTTCAGTGCTATTCTCTAGTTCATTATGGTGTACTTTTAGAATGTCATGGCATTTTTCTTCACTTATGCTCTGCAAAAGTTTTATTTTTTTTGTGTATTAAACTTTTCTTTCTTTTTTTTTTCTGATTTGTTGCTTTGGTTTTCTCATTCATTGAGAGCAACAGGGTTTTCAGGATGGCAGAGCTTCTGTAGAACACAACTTGGGAGTCCTTTTGGTATGTTGTGACTTAGAAGCCAAATTTTATGTTGTTATTTTTGTTAGTTTTCTTCTATTGTGAAACTTTTCCCGGAAGATCACTGAAATGAATAGTGGTTCAATTTTTGTTGTACTTGGGGAGATCTTTAGGTCTTTTATCATTCTCATTCTTCTTGAATGGTGTTTGTAACTTAACAGAAAATAAAGGAAGGAAAAGAAGAACTCTGTGAGATCTATTTGCAGCTTGAATAGTTGAGTTAGGTGATTTGTTAACTGCTGAAATGGGAGCTGAAAGTATAACACTGAGTAGATTTAAAATTTAAAATTCTGCAATTCAGCTTTTCAGTAATGAGGCTTAAATAATTGTTTTGATTATGAAGCGCCTGTATTAGGATGATTGTTCTACTCCTAAGATTTTTAAGAAATACTGACAATACCCCAGGTTTTTCATCCCCTATTACATCAGTTATCAAATGCCCCCTTAAGACTGGCAGAACTTGGGGTAGATGGACATTGTTGGGCTCTATGATCCTGCAAAGAAAATTGTGGATTGAGTGATAGGTTATTACTGATTTCCCAAAACCTATTAAGAAAGATAGTGCATGTCTCTATATAATATACTGGAAGACATTTGAAATGGTGAAGCATCACAGCTATGCTAAATTGTGGTGGAAAATGGGCAAGAGTTCCCACATCCTTTTGGACGAGGGCAGTTAAAGAAGTTGGTCCAAGAAAAATGAATTTGATTAGTCACTTGCTTTAAGTGGGTTTATAAGAAATTTCAAAAGAAAATTTTGAAGGATAAATCCATGAAATTCCAAATGAAGAGAAGATTTTTATATGAGGAGACCTAAATGGGTATGTGGGGAAAAGAAGTGCAAGATATTATATGGTGCACAGTGGATTTGGGTTGGGTAAAGGAATGAAACATGAGATACAATTTTAGAATTTGTCATAGCTTATGACATGGTAACAGTAAACACATTTTTTTAAAAGAAGGAACACTTATAACATTTAAAAGTGGATTAAACAAAAATCGAATAGATTTTTTCCTTACTAGAATATAAGAAATGATACGTAACAGCGTAATGATTGTAAAGTTATTCTAGGGAAAGCTTGACCACACAACATAGATCAGTGGTGGTGGATATTAGAAAATGGAAGAGAAATAGGGAAGAAAAATGTGTCCAAAAATTAGGTGGGGAAACCTAAAAGGAGAAATATTAGCACAATTTAGAAACAGGTTGACAGTAAAAACCAAATGGAATTTAGATGGAAAGACTAATGGTATGTTGCTTAAAATGGCTAATTACATTATAAAAGTTCCAAGGACGTTTTATGAGAATTTAAAGGGAAATGACATATTGCTGGAAAAACTTGGTGGCGGGGAATGCAGAGGTTTAAAATATAATTAGATTAAAATGAGCATGTTATAATGATTGGCAAAAGACTAAAAATGAAGGGAAAGGCATTAGGAGTTTAGGACCAGATTGTATTCTAGTGAAAGTGTGGAAAGTTAAGGGAGAGAGAGGTTATTATGGCTAAATAAACTATTTAATAAGAAAGGAGTTCCAAATAGGTATGTATATCTAATTAAGGATATTTATGAGGTTCAACAACTAATGTTAAAGCTTAGAACACCTGTAGGAGAGACAACAGATTTTATAATTATGATAGGTCTTTATCAAGGATTAGCACTTGGCATTATTTATTTGTACTTATCATAGATGAATTGACTAAACATATTCAGGAGGAGGTTCATGGTGCTTGCTGTTTGCTAATGACATTGTTTTAATTGATGAAACTAATGATTGATTAAATGCAAAATTAAATTTACAAATACCTTAAAATAAGAGGTTTTAAAATAAATAGGATTGAAATATAATATATGTTATTTAAACTTAATAGTAATAGGAGTGCAAATCAGGGTACACCTATGATTGGAGGCCAAGAGATAACTCAATGTGACCTTTTCCGTTACCTTTGTTTGATAACTAACAACAAGGGAGATTAAGGATAATGCCACCCTTAGAATTAGAGTGGGATGGGCAAAATTTTGGGTGTATCCGAGGTCTTATGTGTTAGGTGAATGCCACCTAAATTAAAAGGAAGAAGGCCATTACCCAATGCTGGTCACAACTATCTAGGGTCTTGGGTGGGGTAGACTGGATATGGTCCTAACATTTGGCATTTTTTTTACACTGGCCACTCTCATAGTCGAACTTGCATTCTCACACTTGTTAGCCTGAGATTTTACCATTACAGCAAGTAATGGCTACCTCCACTTGGGTTAAAAGGAAAATTCTATAAAACAGTTGTAAGGCCAATGTTGCTATGTGGATTAGAGGGTTGGGCAGTCAAAAAACATGTCCAAAAAATGAGCATGGAAGAAATGCTTATGATGAGATGGATGAGTGGAAAAGCTAGGAAGGCCAAGGTCAGAAATGGAATAATTTGAAGGAACCTTGGAATAGCTTCAATAGGTAATAAAATGAAAGGAAGTAGACTGAGATGGCTTGGCCATGTGCATAGAAGATCACCTACAACACTTGTAAGAAGAAACAATCTGTTACAAGTTGAAGGGGCTAGAAGGGCTAGGGGGCAAACCATAAAGAAGTTCAAAGTAGTAAGAAATGATTTAAGTGCTCATCTTCTAAGAATGGATATGGCATTAAACAAAACAGAATGGCGAAACAGGATTCATGTAGCTGACCCCATATAGTTGGGGATAAGGCTTAGATGATGACGGTAATGATGACATTTGAGATGGTAACTGTAAATTGTATTATTAAGGAAAACGAGGTTTTGACATACAAAAAAATGGATTATCTCCCCCTTACAAAAGACTGTATTGGGCATAGAGATGTTGCTATACAACTTGTCCATCAGCAGTTGAATTTAGTAATGGTTTAGCTAGTTAAGTTTGGGTAATTACCTATGTCATGCCTCAAAGTAAGCTAAGATGGTTCACTTCATAAATTTATCATGTCATTGGCAAATTGAGAGTTGGTGGACATCTTTTGTTTATAATGATTGGGCTCATACAGTCATACTAAAGCTATATGAAACCCATTTGGGCTTTGAAAAACATGAGATGATTTTGCAGCAGTCCTGTGAAAATGTGTCATGTTGCTTATTTTATAGAGCATGCTGAGGAGAGAAAATTGAGGACTTCAGCATTTAATATATGATTGACTTGTTTTGAGGACATTGCAATGCTGAATTTAAGTGTCCATATGGATTCAATAATCAGAGATTGTCTATTATCCTAGTCATCTCCTCAACTTGTAATATGACCATCTATAAGTGGTGCCTCTTATGTTATCTGTCCAACTTTGATGGTACCCTATTTGCTTCTATGTCATCTTTTGGTAGTAGTAGCATTCAGGGAAGATGCTATTTTGGTGATTATTCTGAGGCCATTGTGAGGGGTGCTGCTATTGCAGCAGAGATTTTAGCTCCCACTTGTGGGCTAAAGCTGTTCCCTTCTTAGCTTTGAGTGCGTTGTACTGGAGGGCAACTCCCACATTGTAATTGGATATCAGTTGTACTTCATGTGTGCTTTGGAAACTAGGAAATGTTTTTTTTTTCCGATAAACGAAACTGGGAAATGTTATTAAGCAGGTAATTGTACTCCTTGGTTTGTTTTTGTTTTGTGCTTTGTTATGTTGGCTCTGTTTGTTTGCAGTACAAATGTGAACCAGTCAGCCATATACAAATTTTGCTCCTGGATCAGTTTTGCACGTTTTTGTATGATTTGCACTTGTGTCTGATACAAAATTTGTACTGTCCTATTTGCACTCATTGGTAGTGCAAATTTTGCATCCCTAAAACTGATGCAAAATTTGCACCACTTTCCATTAGCCTCAATTCTCTCTCATGTAAAGTGAGGACACATCATCTTGCTTCTTACCACACTCCCAAATAAATAAACATTTGCACTGGTGTAAATGCAATTTGCACTGCAAACAAACTGAGCTTTTTGTGCTAGCCCACTATATACTTTCTTCTTCCTCTTTCTGATATAGTACTCTTTTTTGTTATTGATTAAAAATTGAATTTATAAGGACAAAGGACAGACCATGTCTTCACCAATAAGTGGAAGGACACAGAACTTAATAATTGAGGCTTCAAAGAGATCTCTAACATATTTTCCCTTAATGCATAGGTCAACTTTTTTGATTTTTATGGACATAAATTGAACACTTGTGATGTTGGCATATCTTGCAAAGCGGGAGGCACCTTTTTCTTGAAGAGCAACAAAGGGTAAATTTTTGTTGTTAAGTACATTTTTAAAATGATGATTTTTTATTGCCTTTCATAGTTTTTTTTAATTGTTTTAATTTTTTATCAATGCTTAGAGGAACAAAGGGTGCATTCTTGTATTTTTTGTTTTGATATGTATATCTTTCTTAGGTTCTTCAATACAAATCGACCATTTCTTCTGTCCATTGAGGATCCACAGGTAACCTTGTGTTTTGGTATTTATTTATATTTCCAGTGTGGAGTTACTATTGAGGGTTTTTCTTATCAAGTTTGGTTACAACTTATGCTGTACTAGGCACCAGACAATGATATTGGAAAGAACTCCTTCAACTATTCTCAGGTCCAGTCCTCTATGAATTTTCTTTTCTAATACATCATTAATTGTTACTTTTTTAGCACTGACATGTATTTGGAAGTAAAATTTGTTATGGGTTGTTCTTTGGGCTCTGTTCTTCATAGAGCCTTCCTATTTATTTTTTCTCTTAATGTTAGCTTATGCTTATTTGTTCTTATTGTGGCATAACTCATCAGACAACTAACATTTCAAAGTAATGTAAACCTTCCACTCCTTTTGAAAGGGAGGGAAAGCTGATGGTGGATAAAAAAGCTATGTTGCCCATGTTTTATAGAATCTTAAACTTCTTATGAAATAGTCATCTACTCATCCCTCCTTTTAAAATGAGTGAAAGTGAACTCCAAAGTACCTATTCTCTTGATTTTGGCTGGGCTAAGGTCTTTTGTTTAGGTAGACTTCAATGCATCTGGACAATATTGGAGACTAGTCATTAGGCTCATATATGTATATGGATGGAGCAGAAATGGTAGGGACAGTAATCTTTGCTCTGAGTAGGTTTCCTTCATCCAACCCCTGGAAAGGTATAGCCCAAAACTCCTTTCCCTTTCTTAGTTTCATTGTTGGGGATGAGAAGCAAATTAAATTCAGGACTGACCCTCTGGTGGGTAGGGGTGCAACTTGGGCAGGCTCGGGTTGTGGTTTGTCAAAATTTGGATGGGCCTGGCCCAGAAAACCCGGGCCCAGTGCAGTGCAAAATCTAAAAATCGGGTACACAATTTGCAACCCGTACTGGTGGGACCCTAAGCTACTTTGTGCGTCTTACCTCAACTTGTTTTTGGCTTTCCCTTGATAAACATATTTTGGTTTCTTCCACCCTCTCTGGAGATGATCAGGGATATCCTTTAATTTTAGCTTCCATAGAGTCATTACAGAGTCTCAAATGATGGAGCTCTCTCTTCTGCCATTTCTTTCTGATGTATTTCTTTCTCCCTCCTCTCCTGACAAATGGATCTGGTCCCTTGCATCTAATGGGAGTTGGGATCTCCTGGCAACAAAACATGTTCCAACAACCTACCGACATGATTTGACACTGCACATCTCACCATGAGATTGGGATCTGGTCCCTTGCATCTAAAGTGAGACCTGCCATGCATGAGATGTGTGGTGTCAGATCATGTTGGTAGGGTGTTGGTACATATTTTGATGGCAGAAGATCTGGACTTACCTAATGATACCTTCTCCACAAAATCCTACTTCAATTGACTTAATTCTGGCTTCACTCTCCCTCTTCCTGGTCAGAAGGCTATAGCTTTCTTTGTTCCCACCAAAAGTCTCCATTTGGGATGCTGCTTGTGGACACATCAACACTTGTGATAATGTCCTAAGTAAGAGAAAGGCTCGGCTCTGCATTTTGCTTCATATGTGCATAACATGCATGAAGGTGAATCCATTGACCTCATAAATTGTATGGTGGCACATATGGCAAGTTGGCAACCTGGACAGCAATCTCTTGGAGATTCTGCAAACTTCCCCCTATGACCCCCACCTCAGACCTACTCTTAATCCCAGGCCAGCAACTGAATTCGTTCTTTAGTTCGATGGCAGTTTCAGAAGCCCCTTCAGATCTGCCAATGGCTGCTTGGTATAGGGGGAGTTATATATTGAAGTCTGATGGGAACATGCATAAGGATTTTAGTGCGCCAATAGTAGTAACATCAGAAGCAGAGCTGCTAGTAGGCTTAAGGATTGTCAAGTCTGTCAATAGATTGGATTTGGTCCAATCCTATCTAGATCCAATATTGATCTGATCCAAGATATTTTAATCCAATCAAAGGATGGGCATTAAATCAAGTGGCTATAATTCAATCAATCCATTGGATTGGGATGGTTTGAACAAATTCAAATCTAAATAGAAATATACCCAATGCTTTTATAATTAGTATACCCAAATACCCAATCCTATCTAGTCCAATATTGATCTGATCAAAGATATTTTAATCCAATCAAAGGGTGGGCATTAAATTAAGTGACTATAATCCAATCAATCCATGCAAATATTCAAAAAAAAAAAATCCAATCAATCCATTGGATTGGGATGGTTTGTACAAATTCAAATCTAAATAGAAATATACACAATGTTTTTATAATTAGTATAGAATAGATGTGGAAAAAGATGAGCCTCCTTATTGTACTTGGAAAATATTAATTGTTAATTTTTGCAGCTCTATTGAAAAGTCATCAGCACTTGCTGATCTCTAAACTATTTTTCTACTGACTTTGAACAACGAAGAAGTGTTTTTTTGGTTGTTGCAATAAAGCCTGTTTAGTGTAATACTCCACCATTAATTGTTAAAGATATTGAATTTTCTCAAGTTATAGTTCGTTCAATATTGCTTGGGAAAATGAAAACAGTTTCAGTGAGAGCAAGAAAAAAGAAAGAACTTCCTATTATCTGCCCTGTTTGACAATCAGAAAATTTTCGGGGTCTTATAGTTGTTTGAACTCTCAAACTGCTGGTATAATTGCATTGCATATTTGCATCTGACAATTATATATATTTTATCTGCTTGGACCATATAGCTTCTCTTGGCATCAAGGTTCAAAGTACCGATACTGGCCAATATGCTGGTAGGGCGTATCGGCCAGTATCGGCCCCTTTTTTTTAGTTCTACTTATTTTTTTTTTCTGATTTTGGTTCAGAGGGGCCGGTTTAAGTCCCGGCTACCCTCTGAACCCGGCCCTGACCCGATATAACCCCTGTAGGGGCGTATTGGGAAGGGCCCAATACGATACGTATCGGCCGATACGTAACGATTTTTTGAACCTTGCTTGGCATTGATCAATTCACATTTGACTGGAGTTGCTCTCTCTCTATTCAATTGATGGACCAGGATCTATGTTGAGATTCTGCTCGAGAAATTTTTGCCTCCTCTATCAAGACTTTAAACTAAGAAGCCATTTTCTTGTATTTGTTGCTGCAGATCAGGTCAGCTTTTGCAATGGCTTTTTCTATATTGACTAATGCAAAGACAATCTTGAACCTGGGTCCCAACAGGAGCATTCTTGGAACTATAATAAGATCTGACCCTGTACTTCTAGAGCGAAGAGGGGGTTGTAATGGAGAGGTGACTTTTAATAGTTTGCTCCCAGGGGCTGGGGAACCATTACAGCCACAATTTATGAATGAACAGGAAATCTTATGTAATTGGCAATTGGATGACGAAGACCCTCTACCTAGGGGCAATGGCATTTTTGGAGAAGACAGTGGTTCATATTCCTCTCGGGAAAGGAAAGCTCTCAAAGAGAGGCTCAGATCCCAGGTAAAGGAAAATGGGGAAGTGGTGAATTTCAGGCATGAAGAAAATGGGAGTAGAAAAGACAAAACACCAAAGAAGAAACGCTGGAGAAATCACCCAGATGGAAGTAATGGCTATGGTGCTAGCAGTACCAGTAGAAGATACATCGGAGGATCCCCATGGGGTCGAAGCTGTTAGAATATTGCATGGCTCCGAATCTTCTACTGACCAGCGAGGAAAGGATCCTTCCAAGTGTCGGTTATCAAATATCGGCTAAATGCTAGAAAGTTGATATTCATCCTACACAGATGGAAATATTTATGAAATCAACTGTATTTTTGACCAAGCAAACATCGAGTGTGAAATTATTATTTTGTTTCAATTACTTGCCAGCAATTTTTTTTATTTTATTATTTTTTTTTTTGTTTAACGTTCTGATTCTTCTTTGCAAATTTTGAATAGGAAGTCCCTCTCTCTCTCTCTCTGTATATATATATATATATATTTATACGTGCATATGCAAGCATGTGCCATGTGGTTAGTTTTTATAGTTTAGTACCTTTTTATGTAAGAGAGCTCCACTCTCATCTCAACTTCTCAAGCTTTGGCTTTGAACCCTCATCTCTATGTGAATTTCAATGGACATGTTGGGTTAATCGGAATGAAAAATTCACATAAACAAATAAGGGTTCAAACCCAAAGCTTGGGATGAGAGTGGAGCTCTCTTAATTCGTGTGTTCACTTTGTAGTGGTTACAGAACCAGCAAATATCCCTTTTTCTGAACATGCCAATTTATCATGATCTGTTCTCAAGCAGAAAACATGGTTTGATAATGCAAGTCTGACGCGGCCTATTTTTGGGTGCATTTCGGATTTCACACACCAAGAAAGCCTTATTATCCTCTTTTTTTTGTTGCATTCGACCTTGCGATCACATCTTACACTTTGAACGACAAGCAAGGTGAGTAACGCAGAATTAATACTCAGACCCCGTTTGGTTGTGGGAATAGGGATCTAGAATTGGAATTCGATTTCAAGTGTTTGGTTGACAATCAGAATCCCATTCCCATTCCTGGAATAACATTTCCCATTTGAGGGAATGGCCATTTTCTGTAACCAGATTCTCAGAATGAACCATTCCGATTCCGATTCTGATTTGGACGGCAGACCAAATAGACCCTCTAAGGGACCACAACCATGAACCACCACGAAGTATAGAACTTGCTTTATGTGGTTTGGAACACAACCATCTTTGATGCTATCAAAAAATTGCAATTTCTTTTACAACATTGATGGCTTCTTCCTAGCCAGTATACATCGTTTCTGTTATTTGAACGACTAACTAGTAATATTTTCCTCCACAAGAAAAAAAGGAAAAACACTGCATGGTTCTTAAAAATTTACTTTCAAAATCACGAAGTCGATTTGGACATGAAACAGTGATGGTAAGAGAGATTCATTCCTTTTTGTTATAGGATTTAAGATCTGGACAATAATCAAAGAGAAGCCATTGAGTAAATCTCCAATATACATCCATTTACCTTGCGTAGATTGCATATCAAGATAACTAGTGGAATGTCTCAACGTTATTAGAAAACACTGGGTAAACAGAATAGAACATGTACGTGACATTGCAAGCGGATTGACCATAAATCCCAGCTTAGCCTGACCATCCTCTCTGATAGCCCACAGATGGCTGTACATTCAACCTGTCAAGCACGCTGTTGAAATCCACAGGCTGGCCACTCTCTTCCAACCTATGGATCACACTTGCAACATGTTCCCTCACATAACCCATGCTCACAGCTTTCTCAATCAGCTCAGCATAGACATGATTACGCATCATGTGTGATGGGCTCCGAGGGCGGGGCATAATGTTACTACTACCAGCAGGTACCTGAGGATTATGGAGAGAGACAGGACCAGGTGTATAGCTACCTTGGGTGTAATGTGGTGGAAGGGTATGAGGGGCCCTTCCCCCTTCACCATCGTATATCATGCTCCTTTGTCCTTGAGGTTGTGTTGGCTGTGCTCCTGCACCTGGGTAGGCACCAGTACCACTACTAAGATGTGCTCCAAAAGTGCTCTGGCTGGTCTGAGGTTGTGGTTGCTGCTGCATATTATGCTGTAAGGGAGGCTGCTGCTGTACTGTTGTTCTACCAGCAGCATTATAACCATATACCATGGATTCTGCACGGCTCACTCCTGGCTGAGGGATTCCCGAGAATGGAACCTGCATTGGCATGCTGCCCAGAAAGGGCTCAGGAGAGGGGTTTGCAGGTTGAGTTGGGAGATAGGGAGGGTACACTGGTGTTGTCTGGGGTCTGACCTCGGCCTGCAGAGATGGCTGTTGTGGTTGTTGTCGGGGGAACTGCTGAGGCCACTGCTGTTGATATGAGGGGAACGGCGGTATTTGCTGGGCTTGGCTCATCTGAGGTTGGACTGGCTGTTGTGGCTGCCTAGGAACCTCTTGCATTTGGGGTCTCTGGTACTGGGAATCTACTGGTAGGTATTGGTCCTGAGTGTGACTTTGAGTCTGGGGAGGAGGATTAGGCAACTGGTTCTGTGGGGAATAATAGGCATTTGGTTGGGTCTGAACATGAACGTTTTGAGGTGGGGCTTGAGAAGGTGGAGCCATAGGCTGTGGTGGTTCCACAGGTCTGGTTGGGGGTGAGAGTGACGGGGCTACTTGCTGAGGTAAAGCAAGAGCTAGCTGGTTCTGCACTTCTGGTACAGGCACATTATCAGTTTTCTTGGGACCAGAAGCAGATGGTGCACCTCCATCTTCCTTGTGTTGTAAATGGCCATTGGTCGAGGATTCTTTGTGCGCAAGCTGAAGCTTGGCCAGTTCTTTCTGAGTTTCTGCAAGTTCTTGCTTGTCTCTCAGGATCTGCACTGATCTGTGCACCTGCAATGCATTAATCAAATGTGAGAGTTCCAATTTGAACAGATTGCTACAGGAGCAAGTTAAAGAATTTGTACACAGAAGAAATTCCAAATTTGGACATCTTCCGAATTTTCATCATAATCTGGCAAAAATTAGGTTTCTCCCCATTGGCCCGACAAATCAGAGATCTTGCTAAGCAACCACAAAATGCTCAAAGTCCTTGGCAATTTGCTTCCCAGTGGCTGAGTTCACCCAATTTGTTCTTGCTTCATTCTGCTAAAAGGGATAATATATAATATATTTGTATAACATTTTGGGTTTTACATGGTAAATAAATAAACTTCCCCATCTTGATAGGAGTCTTCTGCACGTATCTTTTGTCCTTCGCTTGCTATTAATATAGATTTTTTGTTGATAATCTCAAATATGATAAAATGTCATAAATGTAAAATTGGTCTACAAGCTGATAGGGAAGGTTGGCTCATGTACAGAAGAATGCATGGTAATCAACAACAAAGACTTGAATAGAATGGTCAAACACTTTCCTCATTTCAGACAGACAGATATTCTTCAAAACCTAAATCTGCAACTAAGATTATCCAACAAATTAATCTTCAGAAGAAAATTAGTGATTTTGATATGCATATCTGTACATATGTAATAATTAATTCCATGTAGGCATGGTCAAATAGAAAGATAATAATTTCCTTCTACTGACAATCCAAAAGGTAAGTATTTAAATATTTATTGTATATAAGACAACATCTTAAGAGTGCAATCATGTGATGTAAACTTACTTCTTGAACATGTTTCTCAAGAGATTTAAGCTTTGAATTTGCTTCGTTGTTATCACGTTCTAAATCAGATCTCATTTCTCCTACTGACTTCTCAAGATTGTAGCAATACAATTCCAACTGTTGCAGACGTCCACTAATTCCTTCAAGAAAACGGAGTAGATTATCAGCATACTTCTTCATGGTCCTTTCTACAGTTGCAATCACTTCTTGGTTGAAAGATTCTTCCTGCTGATTATAGACATGTAACAATGTTGATCTCCCCATTCTGCCTTCACGGAAGTCCTGGTCAAAGTAAAATGAAGAAATTAAATTTGGGGTTTACAGATAATGGAAGAGAGCAACATTTTGAGAAACTATAATCCTTCACAAACACATAGTGAAACAAATACTTGATTTATCATCTTTATTCAAAAGTCAGGTTACAAATTTAGAAATAAGATGCTATTCAACCTTGTTCCAAACAACATCAAGGAAGAAATGACATGGTAAACCTCCTCACAGACTCAAAAAATGATTGTTGCCTGTTTCTCAGAATTTTCTTCTATCACTCTAATACACACACACAAAGGACAAAAAGAGGAAAAACCAGAAATCCAGGAAAATAAACAATCTCAATTCCATGGATTTTCTTTTACCATATACGCTAACTATAAAAAAGAATACAAATGGTCCCCAATAATTCATCCATTTTACAATTACATCCAACAAGGTAAAAATCCCCTTAAACATTAAATATACATGGAACTAACCTGATCTGATACTTGTGAGATGCAGTAACATCATAAAAATGAAAAGAAAAACCCTCAAGACACCTAACCAAATCAACATCCATTTTACTTGAAAACCTTCGCCAATGACAGATCGAGTGTATAATTTTTTATCAATGACCAAGTGTTTGTAATTGATTCTTTTCTTTTTAATTGGTGGTGCCCACTAACTTGAAAAATCCTTAACAATAGTTAAAACTTAGATATTGTAAGTCCATGAATGAATGTTGTTAACAGCAGTTTGAAGGAAGCATAAGACCATTCCACAACCCTTGTTTTGAATATCAGCTTACGGGGACTCAGACCAAACCACTAAATGCAGAACAAAGTTGCCCGATAATAATTCCAACTCATCAGCTGGTAGAAGAAAGAGAAACAGAGTTGACAATTGGCAGCAAGCAGATTTAATATGCCTCCCTTATTGTTTTTTTTATCAGTAACAATAAAACTTTATTAATGATGTGAATATTTATGAAGCTTTAGATACAATAGGGGAGGTAAAAAGTCTTAACTCCCCATCAACAGAATACAATGACAGAAAGTTAAAAATTAGCCCAAAAGATAGCCTCCCTATTAACCCCCTGCTTGGCCAGCCCATCTGCAAATGAGTTGGCAGACCTCTTCACCCAGCTATAGTGTATCTTAATGTCTCTGCCCAACCAACAGAATTTTTTCTTTTCATTGTTATAGCTCCACAAGCCACTGTCCTCTTCCTTCAGCCAGCTAATCACCACCTTCGAGTCACCTTCCAAGACCAGACGTCTGATATTTAGTTCCCTTGCTCTTTGAATTCCTTCCAGAGCTGCAAGGATCTCAGCCCTAAGAGAGTCTCCTTCCCCATTGGGGCCTGAGAACAAGGCAATAACAACCCCCCCTTCATTCCTGAACACTCCCCCAATCCCAGAATGCCCTGGATTCCTCAAACTACTGCCATCAAAGTTCAGTTTTATAAATCCTAAGGGAGGAGGGGACCATGAGGGACTAGGAGTCCTCTTACACAAAGCAGAAATAGCTATCTCTTTCCAATTTCTTAATAAGTCAGCCACGGGAAAGTCTGAGAACAGCTCCAAAGATTTTAGCCAATGGACAGCCCTTAAAAGTATTAGATTTAATAGGTTTGCCAGGGTTCTGTCCTTGTCTGAGAAAATTCATGAGTTTCTTTCTTCCCATAGGGACCAACATACAGCTGTCCTAATGCTCCACATAATCTTCCCTCTCTTCTTAGGCCATCTGAAAAACGTAGGAGAGAACAGCCTCTGGACACTCTCGGGGGGATTCCAAGAACACTCAAAGAGGGAAAGAGCCCACTCCCATACAGTTTTAGTGACCTTACAAGAAACCATAAGGTGATAACCAGTTTCCCCATCAGTCTCCCTTATTGTTTTTGTCCTTGTCTTTTCTTTGAACCCCACCATATACACAGTATGGACTCTAACAACGGTTATTCTCTATCTCTAATTTTTTGTTCTTCTTCTGACACTCTTGCCTAATTTTTTGTTATTCTCTTTCTGAGGAAAAATTAAAAAAAAAAAAAAAAAAAAAAGAGAAAGCCATAAAAATAAACCATCTCTGAAAATTAGAGAAGCTGCTGGATGATGCTCACATGGAAAGTTATGCTTCAATGTCAAACAGTAAATTGCACTCTGGACTCTGGAGTCAATTCCATGTATTATCTTGAAAAGGTAAGGAATCATATTTGTAGTTAATGAAGATGATATTAGGGACATACATTAGGGGCTGTTGCTTGGTGTAATGGAAATCCCAGAATGGCAAGCATGAGGACGTTGGTTCAAATCTGAGAGATGCCAAAGGTTAGGTATTTATCCAGTCCATCCCTCCCAAGGCCCCAGATAGCTGGGACTAACATTGGGTAATGGCCTTTTTTTTTACATAAGAGATATACATTGGCACCTAGATCTATTGAATGTGGATGTACAAAAGGAAAAAAATAGCATTGCATCATATTTTCCTATTTATAAACACGTTATCAAAATCAAATGAAGATGTATGGGAGACTTTCCTGAAGCTTTTTTGATCAATCAGTTACATCTCCAGAGTAACCCAGCTTTCCTTGAGACTTCATTATCAGTGTGGATCTTATTTTCAAAGATCTAAGGCTTTCTTTAAATCCATGGATTTTCTTTTACCATATGGGCAACCAAAGCAGTAAAGCATACAAATATTCACCATTTATACAATCATCTTAAATAATATATCTGACATGGCAAGCATATTCCAAAATGTCTTGCACAACAAAATGATCATTTCCTTCCATTCAGAAGGTGCATGCTTCATGGTTCCCCCAAAAGAAGGATTTACTAGGACGAAATTAGCATACTGCAATTTTGGAATTGTGCACAAAATCCAGAAAATAAAAAGATGGGGATGCTAAAATGTATTTTGTTCCCTCAATGCTTAAAGATGAAAATATTTTGAGTTTTGAATAAATTATAGTACGAAATTCAAATAATCCTATTAGTTTGTCTTCGTGCCCATGGTTTCAAATGTCGCGACATTTCACTAATGTCGCCCGACATATGTCGATGTTGAGGCTCACCGACATGAAAATGGATGGTAATATAAAAATTACATTATTTCGGTCGACATTTCCTATATTTCAGGAGTGCCGACCAAATCGGTCCAAATAACCAAAAAAAAAGACAGTTTTTCCTATTATGTCGATAGGATGTCGACTAATGTACATTAATGATATAATATATTCGTATATTATATTAATATAATACAGTACATTAATATAAATTATTCCATTAATAATTTATATTTAATATTTCAAATAAAATATTTATAAAAAATAATTAACTAAAAATAAAAACAAAAGAATAAATTAATTACTTTGTAATATAAAACATAAAATATTTTTCAAGTAATAAAATATTAACTAGTTAGTATTTTCAAAATATTTATTAAATTTTGTAATAAATCATATTCTAAATTTAATATAAAAAATCAGAATAAATTCATTAAATTTTATACTAAATCATAATTTATTATAAATTTAGTAAGAAAAATCATAATAAATTCATTATGTTTTATAAGAAATCAGAATTTATCATAATCTTAATACTACAAAAAGGAGAATCAGTTTATTACTATTTACTAGTGTGAAATAAATATATTAGAATTTATAATAAATCAGAATTAAAAATAAGAAAAGGAAATATTGGATAACCTTGTAAAAACATCAAAATGCATAATAAATCAGTAAATCGTCATTTACTAATCTGTTATTAGTTTCTTAGCTTTATATAACGGTTGGAATAAGATAATAGTCTAGAAATATGTATTAATGCTTCTTTTTATCATTTTACAAAATATCATTGCATATTTCCACATATTTCATAATACTTCCACAATGTCTCTAATTTTTACAATATTTCCCCTCAACATTTCCGACATATATCTTATATTTTGGTAAGCGACATTTCCATTGACATCAGCATTTTAAACCTTGTTCGTGCCAAAGGGGGATAAAGGTTTCTTGTGGTCATCCTATATCATCATGCGAATTTGCAAATCCAAAGTTTGTTACTTGGCTTGAGAATGAAAAGCTTGATGTCCTGGCCAAGCCATCTCAGTAATTGAGACCTAGTAATCCTTTTAGCTGTGACTAGAAATACTATTAGAGGAACATCTTTGTCTTGCAAAATATATAAGGCTGGCATCAAGCTGTGCTGCCTCGGTTCAGAAGTTTGCAAATCTAGAGTTTTCTACTTGGCTTGAGAATGAAAAAGTTGACATCCTGGCCGAGCCATCTCAGTAATTGAGACCTAGTAATCCTTTCGGCAATGTCTAGCAATACTATTAGACGAATATCTTTGTCCTTGCAAAATATAGGGGTTTTAGGAGGGGGCTGCAATTCAGATTTCTGAGGAGGATTGCAGTCCAAACTCCAAAAATCCCAATATATATAAAAGGCTGGTATCAAGCTGTGCTGCCTCAGTTCAGAAGTGGCAACCATATTTCAATGAAAATTTTCCTCTTTCATAATAAAAAACTTGATCATCGAATTTCAATCTAACTCGAACCTGTGGATGGTGGGGTGGAGGCAGAAAAATTGCTTCAGCCATCCAATTAGGAGAGTCACCTGGCATTCTGGCAATGAACTTAAAGTTGCACTCGAGTTCGGGAGCCATAATAACCAATCCTCCACCAACTTCAAAGTTAAAACTACAACAATTCACTCTTTAAACCATGAACCCCCAACAGGATGAACCCTCAACAGGCTAGTTTGCAATTCAAAATTTACCAATTCTCATGGTGAGCTTGTTTATTTTTGTTATCAGCTTCCCACTGGTTGACCTAATCTTACGGATAAAAGCACAGAGCCAACATCTCGCTAAGGACCAAGCTTGATAACTTTTCTGATAGGTAGGACCAAGCTTAATCGGACTATATCATTCAAAAAAACATGCATAAAACAACGAATTTATAGATTAAAAAGTGTTTCGAGCTTCCCAGTTTCAAAAGATTCCGTAATTATTTGATACTGTTCTGTAATTAAGATCATTAAAAGGTAAACACAAAAAAAAAAAAAAAAACTGCAAATGCAACGAGAGAATGCGAGAACAAACCTTCCCAGGGTTGCCACCCATCGGCGGATCTGCACGGCTGCCGCCAGAGGCGTCTTGATTCCCAAAATCGTCGTAAGAGCAGAGAATGTCGTCGGAACCAAAATCAAATGCCTTCCCGGACGAGCCGTTTCTACCAGATGATCCAGAAGCCATGACGATCGAAAAAAGTCGGTTCTTGGATCAGGAAAAAATATATATTTATAATTACGATTTAAAGAAACCAAAAGGGAAACAGAAACGAAACCTATTAGGAATCAGGATCGGCTGAAGAAAAATAGAAGATAATTAGGGATTAGAGAGATAGTTGGGAAGTTGCAGGGAAAGTCTAAACAGAGAAAGCAAAAGGAAAATGCTCTTATTTCGCTTGCTTGTCGGCTCCGTTACCAGGGCGATGGATTCCATTTTATATCTGCAAATGTTGATTGTTGACAATTCTTGGTATTAAATAAAAATTTAAATTAATATATATTTGGGGTTTTTATTTTTATTTTCTTGTCTGTTCAATCAATGGTCTGCAAAGGATAAGATTGGTAAGCGGCATCCAAAACCGTGCACCGCGTCGCAGACTTGTAGGTCAGTGATATCACGTGATGCCAACTATTTTTTCTTCAAAGTCCCTGGTTGACTCCAAGCCGTTTGATCGACCGACCAAAGCAATCACCACAGTTGGATTCAACTTTTGATACGCGAGTTTTACACCTAGGAAATACCCAACCTCTTTTTTTGGTTATTGGGGCTACAAAGGGGGATTAGGATAACCCATCCCGCCGTCCTTTGTACGGGTGATTGTGTTGTGCCGATACTACCGTTTTTGAAAATTTCCGAACCGAATCAATCGATTAATCAGTTAGCCGGTTTCATTTTTTGAACCGTTCGGTTTTTTTATATTTATAATATATATTTTATAAGTAAATGTGTATATATATATATATATATAATATTATATGTAAATAATAAATAATATATTATAATTACAAAATAGATTATTATGAATATAATATATGAAAAAATCTATGATATAGAAAGAGTTTTGACCGATCAAAACCCACCGATGAATTTTGATAAATCACACCATGTTCCTAACCACGTTTAAGATTCTGTGTTATTGGTCAGTTGTTTTTCAGTTATCATATCTTTTCCATATCGTAGTCTAACTCTATTTATATGTATAATGCATATATATAATATACCAGTCATGGTGACTGCTTAACTGCCAGTTTTTTTTTGGTTAATTAAAATCAAATCAGTCATTCATTTTTCAAAGATATCGAACTGATCAATTCCATTAATCAGATTTTTCAGTTCAGATCAGTTTTTTTTTTTTTAGATTTTATGAACACCCCTATGCACAATCCCTCCAACCTTGGTGTGAGCAGGATTTGATATCTAAAGCTTGAAACTCCTAATAAGCAAAAATTGTATAATCCACAAGACTCTATAATCATGCATAAAAAACATCTCCCCATAAATAACAACATATAAATATAAAAAATATTCTTGATGTGCAGCTGAAAACCTATAATATCTTGTCGATGATAAGTGTGGGTAGGAGATCTGAGCGCATCCCACATTGGGATTATTGTGATGATATATTCTGCAAATTAAAACTTGGCACATACTCTGGAAGCATAGGCATCTAGTTGCAAATTAAGAACATCTTAGAGTCTTCTGATTAATTTAATATTATGCAGTTAAATTCGATGGGTAGAGATTTTTTCATAATTGTATAATTGAATGATATATTCTCAACTCTCAAGATGTAAGATGTGATGTATACACAATTTTTGCCTTCAACAGATATCCCATCTCTTGATCTCAGTCTCGGTTAATAATGTATTTGGATCTCATACTAGTATTAATGATTGGAATGATGGAATTCCATTAGATCTTCACCGTTAAGCAATTGTGAAAGATTAGTATCTAGAATGGTAACTTCCTGGAAAGTCCTCATATTGCAATCTATTTCTAGATGCAATCACGCCTATTAAATACCCAACCAAGCCTCAACAGACCCACCACGAAATTGGATTCATCAATGGCTTAGGAAAGATCATTGAACCTACTTCTACCTTTATGAAAAGATTTCTTGAGAATGGGACTATCTTTTGCTTGAAGCTTTATGATGTGGCAACTAGTATCAAGATACCTTAGTAACAAAATTCAGTTAGCTGACCCCAAAAATACCATTTGAGATGAGCAAGATAGTTTCTTTGGGGATGGCAATTTTTCTCATCCCCACTGCATGCCAGTCTCCCTGACCCAATGGGATAAGGGATGGAGATTGCCTTGGTATAGGCAAGGGATTAAGACAAAGATGGGGTGTGAAGTCCTCACCCCATCCTTACTTTATATTATTAAGTATGCATGTATGTTGCACATGGCAATTTCAGATAACATTAATAATTTTAACATCTTTATTAGAATCATTTAAAAAGGATAAGTAATCAAAGCATGTGTTGGTCTATTTGACTTGAAAAAAAAAGCAATATCATTTTTTGGTAGCTTTAATTTTTTTATTCTATTTATATAGTTAATTAAAAATTATTCTTTTTATCACATTTATTTTTGTTTGATACAATAAGTTTATAATATCTTAGATGTGCCAAAATTTTCTATAATTTCTCTCTCTCTCTCTTTATCTCTATCTATCTATCTATCTATTTATCTATATCAATATATATATATATAGTGTTTCTATCCATTTTTCAAATTTTTATTATTTAACTATGGATTCATTGGTTAACCCATTTACCCAAATGATTAGACTATTATGGTGCAAGTCAAGTAGGTTGGGATGAATTTAAGCTTAACTAAGGCCTAATCCTATGCATTGGACCTAAGGCTTCAGACCAAAGTAAAGCATGATCTATTCAACTGAGCCTAACCTTCAACTTGCATTGAAATTTGATCCACTTGGGTTAGACTTGGGCTTGGGTCTGTCAATTAGTCCCATGAAAAAAATACTATAAAATGTATGTATATAATTGTATATATATGCATGCATGCAAATATGTGCTATACATGTATTTATGATTATATGTATATAATAGGACATAACTTTAGCTACCTAAGGGCTAGGCTTAAGTCCAACCCAAAAAATAAAAAATCCTAAACTTTTGAGCCTATACCTAAGCCCAAGTTGAGGACAAAAAATCAAAGCTAGCCTGTCTAGATTATGAGTTGGCTCAATTCGAACTCAAGTTAAGCCCACTTAATATGCCTCCTTATAAACCATTGGTCATCAATTAGATGCAAAAACAGTTTCCTTTTTAGTTTAGATTTTCATTTATTTCTATCATTAATAAAAATAACTTTTATCTTTCACACTTATTTTTGTTTAATATGATAAATACATAACATTTGAGATACACCCAAATGTTTTTTACAAAATTTCTTTGCTTTTAATAATTTTTGTATCTCTATCTTTTTAAATTTTTATTATTTATTTATGATATCATGGATTGATCCATTGGACCTAAAAGCTTGAACCATTAACCCACCGCTTGAATAGGAAATGGTTTCATTTTTTGGTTAACTTTTAATCTTGTATTTCATTTCTTTCAAGTAAAAATACTTTTATTTAGAATGCTTATTGTTTTTTGATATGATAAGTAGATAATATTGTACCTAATTTTTTTCATAAAAATTTTATAATTCTTGTAATATTTATAGTTATTTTTAAGTTTTTATTATTTAACTACGAGAACATTGGTTGATCCATTTGGTGTAGACGGTTGGAATTTTTACTTTCCACTCAGACAAAAGGGTGATTTATTTAATTATTTTTCATGTTGGTTTTGAACATAGGTTTTATATTATTACAAATATTGGATATATATTTAATTTATATAATTTATTGGTGAGAAACTACATTCAAATAAAGTATCTAAGGAGAGAGAATGGTGTTAATACCTTAATGAGATGGAATTTAATGAAGTGAAAAGTAATATTACTTTAAATTACATTTTAATGAAAGGAAATGTTAGTTAATACCTTAAATATGAGACTTAATGAGGAATATAATGAATTTAATAAAACTAGTAGTTAAAATTATGTTTTTTGCCCTTATAATATAGGGATATCAAGTTCAAAAAATATGAGTATTTTAGTCAAACAAATTTCAGAATCTAACCTCATTCGTACTTTCAATAGTAGTATATATCATGGTTTTAAAAAATGACTTGGAAATGGAACTGTTTTGGCCACCAGTTTTCGGGTTGATGGTTCGACTGTCCGATTTGAATGGACGACCCATTTTGAGTCTTTTGACAACAAAAATTATAAAATAAAAAATAACCAAAAATCATTGAATGGGTTAACGGGTCGACGGTTTGACCACCCAAAGCAACGGATCGTTGACCAATTCAACGGTTTTTGGCCAAGCACTGGGTTTGGGGTAAAACAAAACCGGTTGCCTGGACAATTACTGGGCCGAACGGTCCAACCATCCGGGTTAATAGCGGTTAAAAAACCATGATATATATTATATTATATTATATTAATATATTTAAATATTATTTATATTATAAAATTATCCCTATTTTTAAATAAATCTATCTTCCAAAAAAACTTTTAATTAAAAGATTTTGCAGATTTGGCTCCTCGATGAGGAACTGCTATTGCTAGGCATTAGGGATGAAGAGTAACTTTTATCCTATGGTCCCCACTTCAAACCACTCCATCACCATTCTTAAGCATCCTATTTTTTCTTTTTCTTTTGTTACAAGCATTAGATGGTATTCATCAACACTGAACAAAAAGTTTCTCTAAAATACCTTGATCCTCTACTTGTAATTAACAGATGCTCTAACCCATTTTAGGTAGCCATCCTCACCAAAGCTCTATACAATTTAATAGAAATTGAGAAATACAACTATGTTATTAAAGTTGAATGTTTAAAAGTCAAAGTGGGAATTACTTAAGAAGTAGGGGGTATTGGGAAGTGAAGATCAAAAGTGTATGAACTGTACTGTGACTGGGTTCCTCGAACTCAGCTATAGTTTCTGACGGAAAAAACAGTAGTTAGAGCCTTAGAGGGTCAGATAGGCCTCAAGCCAAGCTGTCCGAGGTGGAATGTTGTAGCGTTTACCTTTATATAGGGCTCATACCTTGACCAGAATATCGAGGTGATGAGAGAAATCCAGTAGAACTTAGTAGGACACGTGACGTCTATGTGGTTAGGGTGACATGTTTGCGATACTTAAGGGAGCGCTTATGGTACTTTGATTTCCGAGAAAGGATGAGACTAGAAAGGCTGGGATGAAAAAGATTAGGATGGGAAGAGAAAATATTTTTTCTTAGATTTGCATCCCATGTTTGTTTCCTGAGAAACAATGTGCTAAATAACTAGTTTCCTACGCTTGTTTATTGAGAAAATCGGCCACAAATCAGTGGCCATATGAACATTGTTACTTTTGA